GTGAGGCGAAAACTTCGTGCAGTTCGCAGCGGTGTTCGCAGTGACTACGAAAACTTCGTGCAGTTCGCAGTGGTGTTCGCAGTGAGGCGAAAACTTCGTGCACTTCGCAGCGGTGTTCGCAGTGACTACGAAAATTTGCGCGGTTCGAAGAATTTTTAGGCTTAACTTAAGTGATATATTGTTTTAGGATGGTAATGCGATCACACCGAAGCCATCGAAAGAGTTTCTACAGATCAGACAAGCCATTCAGGCGAGTCGTTTCAATGTGCGCAGTGCAGACGAGGCGTGTATTGTGGTGCCGGGATTCGATACGTTGAGCATGCGACGTTTCCGATCGGCGAAACACTTTCAGATGGCGCTGGAAGCTGGCGATAGGTACGAGGTTTGACTGGTTTGCACGGCTATCTGCTGCGGGAACTTGAAGCATTCAGATAGTCTCCAGTTTTTTTTTTCATTTTGAGTTGGTTTTGGTTAAATTGACTTTATTTTATTGCAGATTCCACGGTCGGAATGTACTGATTTTTACGTTTGCGGGCACGGAAATTCCAGCTGGCAAATCGATCGTGGCTCGGTGAGCGTGCTTACAATTTTTCATTTTTGCTTTTTGCTTTTCAGATTTGGATTTTGAATTTTGAACGGTAGTGTGGGGAAGTCNTGTCGAAATCCAATGCAGGCTCGTCGTCGTCGTCGTTTCGACGTGGATTTGATGTGGTGATACCGTTTTGGCTGCCCCCAGATCTGCTGGACGTGGAGAAGATGTCGAGTCGTGGTGGTGCTGAGGTGGTGGCGGGTTTGGCGGGTAAAGGTGATCTCCCCGGGCAAGTTTTCACGATGCGGGAATCGGGTGGAGTTTCGGGTGAAAGATTGAACGGGCAGAACGAGAAGAGTCGTGCGACGGGTAGAAATTCGGGCAAATCGAAGGGATATAGATTGGCAGTTGTGGTGAGTTATGCGCCGGAAGATGTAAGACGGGAACTGGAGAGTAAGTTGAGGCTAGAGGTTGATGGAAAGGGTTCGGTGGCGAGGGAAATCGAGATTGTATGGCTGGACAGGTGCGAAAAGGTGGATTCTGCGATTGATTCTGGAAAAGTAGACGGTTCTGGAGTTGGAGTGGAAGATGGGAAGAGATCTAAGCGGAAAATTTGTGAGATACCCGCAGATTTGGGAAGAAATAAGGGTAAGGGCAAGGGTAAGTTGAGGGGAGTGGATCCGATGGAACGACGAGGAAGGGCAGATGGTAATCATCACGAAGGAAGTGGACGTATCTTGAAATCTACTGATGGATCGGTTAAAAATAACCAATTCGAGAGTGCAGAAGCTTCATGGTCGACACTGGATTCAGCGTTACGGGTGAGTTGAGCAGTGATTCTGA